GAAAATACCCATGCCAGAAAATTATCAATATATTTACTTCTACTTTTCTTGATGTCAGGCCTTTGATTAATTTAATTTACACATTTGTATGTGTATTCTCACAAAATCGACTCCATTGAATTATCCTTCGCCCTTCAGTTTTTAGGGGATAAACTAGAAAAAGAAGAAGCATCTCATCAGCTGTATGTGAGTGTAGCCGTTCTGGAAAAAAAAATACGTTGATTAATAAAAGTTGCGTTCGCGTAGCTGTTAATTGTTAATGTTTAACCACAACTTACAGGTTTTCGCGTTCGAGTACGCAAAAAAATTGCAAAGTAGGCGAAATTGAGAGAGCAAAGTGACATTTCATTTTGAGGGGAAGCTGCTGGTTTCTGCTGGATAAATGGGAAATGTTTAGTTATTGGCCCACCGTTTTTGGGGTGGGGGGCGGAGGGGGAGGGGGCGGGGCCCCCCCAAACCCCCCTCATTCGAAAGGGGACAGTCGCCACTTTACGAAAAGCCCCACCCCCCCCCTTGGGGACCTCCCACAGACCCCTAGGGAACCGTTTGAAAATGGGGTAAAAACGTAATTTTCCGAGGCAAACTGAGCAGTTTCAAGTGGAATATAACCCAACTAACGAAAAACGTGGGATTTTTAAATAAAAGAAATTATCCCAAGTTGGTTATCAGACGATTTAAAAAAAAAAAATGATGGGGAAAAAATTAACTAACAATATTGTGAAATTAAGAAAAAAGCGACAGATAGAAATGTTCGGCCGCACTTAGGGATTATAACCCTCACTACGTAGAATTCTCTTCTGTGTTGCCAAAGAAAGGGGGTTGAACACCTTTTGCAGAGAACACCTTTCTGCGTAGGCGGCCTTCGGCCGCACTTAGGGATTATAACCCTCAGGCAGTAGAATTCTCCTTTCTGTGGTGCCAAAGAAAAGGGGCCGAACACCTTTCTGCGTAGAACACCTTTCTGCGTAGGCGGCCTTCGGCCGCACTTAGGGATTATAACCCTCAGGCAGTAGAATTATCCTTCCTGTGGTGCCAAAGAAAAGGGGCCGAACACCTTTTGCATAGAACACCTTTCTGCGTAGGCGGCCTTCGGCCGCACTTAGGGATTATAACCCTCAGGCAGTAGAATTCTCCTTTCTGTGGTGCCAAAGAAAGGGGGCCGAAAACCTTTTGCATAGAACACCTTTCTGCGTAGGCGGCCTTCGGCCGCACTTAGGGATTATAACCCTCAGCGAAAGGAGCCACAGGGACAGTAAATACATATTTTCCATGGAAAGGTTTATATTTTTAATGCTGACTGGGTTATATCATATTTTCTTTTGTCTCTCATCCTTCTTGTATATTTAGCAGTTTGACAGCTAAACGCCACCATTTAATGTGCATATGCAACCAAAGGCAAACGCGTGGTTTTGAAGATGTTTTCATTTAATAAATTGTGATTGATAGATTAAAATTAAAGTAATAAAGAAAGTTGTAACAAGTCGAATAAAGTTTAAAGTGAAGGGGAATATAAAAATGCATTAGTGAAGTGGCTGCTTTAAGGAAAATAGGAGTGATAAATGTGAGCTATTTTCCGAATTTTACAAAAAAGGGCATATTTCAAACCCAATTTGTAAATAAATTAGTGACCAAAAATTACAATAGTGGATGTTAAAGTAATGGGTAGACCCTTGGCTACAAGTGTGTGCAACTTTTTTTTGGATCGGGTCACCCCTTTGGACGCAATACCCCGAAATAGGTGGGCCACTTACTAAACCGTACCCGGATAAATTTTTGCCAACAGCAATTCGCAATAATTAAACTTGTAAGAAATAAGTAGTTATTTGTTTAATCAATAACCCTGCAAAAATCGCGACTACTCCATGCATGCATGTAAAGAGTACTCCCGAAGGACCAAGGAGTACTCCAAAATTAACCACAATTCATATAAAAAATATGGTTCAATTAACATTGCGATGTCCTAGGGCAGGACCATATACTCCATATCTGCATTACATCAGAGTAGCACAAAACTACTCCTAACATACTCCAATGACATTGTCGTTATATTTTTTCGTTTGTACACGCTGTCGTTCTTCACTTCGCAGATGCTTTTTTTGAAATGAATAAAAACCAAAAACAAAAATTAAAAATTACATGTTGCCTCTGACGACATTCGAACCCGAACATGCTGGGAGCTAAGAAATAACAGCTAGCATCTCTACACGTTCAGCTACAGCCAGACATGCAAATGTACTTTAAAATGCTTAACTTCAATCACATTTCGTTAAAACGCGAGCAGTGATCGGGTAACAATAAGCTGGTGCAGAGACACGAGTTGGTCCGCTACAGCATGACAGAGGAGCACTTTTGTAAGTACTCCAATATACCACAAATAGACTACATGGTCCAACGATTTTTGCAGGGAAAGTGTGTCAGTATAACACTTTGTGATGACTTTTCGTACGTTTTAAATTTTACACTTTTGAATGTAAAAAAAAAATTATATCAGCTGTTCGTCTAACTAGCAAGTTTCTGCAAATTTTCTGTTCGCGTACTATTTTGGATATTTTTGTTGCTGTGTGTAATTTTTCGTAGAACAAAAGCTTAAATTGATGAAATGCAATCAGTGATGGTAGATGTTTTCTTAAAATATTAATTTCACTTCAATTTTTAATGGTTTATTCCGAATAAATCTGCGGTTATCAAAAATTTACTGCTGTCAGAAATGATTTCATTTCACACAGCAAATTGGCAAAACTGTCTCACTATAGTGAAAATATTATTCAAAAGCTTTCCCCATAGAACTTTGTTACCGATTCACACACGCAGATTTTAAACGAACGCACCTAAAATGTGTGTCACAGGAAAGAAATTCATTTAATTTTGAACTTTCTGGTAGCCCAGTTAGAGTGACCAAGTTTTATCATACGTGAAAAAATATGACAATCTACTCCTTTGTTTATCAATTTGCAAGGTGGAAATTGTCGGAACAAGTGTATCTATAAAACATGAGTTTCAAAGCCATTTACGTCACAGTGGGCACTACCAGATTCGACGAACTTGTTGAAGAAGTTGTATCCGCTCAAGTTTTGAGAACTCTACAGCAGCGAGGATGTCGAAACTTAATCATACAGTACGGTCATGGTAGGCCAGTGCAAAATACCGACAACATTCGTAAAGCATATGGAATTTATATTGAACAATACGACTTCAAGCTCGAAACTCCAAGAACTGATATTCTGAATGCCGACTTGATAATAGGCCACGCGGGAGCTGGAACTTGCATGGATATACTTAATCACGCACGACCTGGTATTATAGTGATTAACGATAGACTAATGGACAATCATCAAAAAGAACTAGCAGAACAGCTAAGCGAAGAAGGATACTTATTTTATTGCAGAGTACAGGGACTTGCTAAAACCATAGAACAAGCCGATGAAACTAAGTTAAAACCATATGAAAATAGCAATAATATGCACACCTTTGTCAGGTACTTAAATGAGATGATGACAGCGTAGTTTGTTAGTACTTGTCATGAAGTATAAGTATAAAATTAGATTAGAATTGGTGTTTATATGATTTTTATTATTGATAAATGTGAAACACGAAAAATATGTTTAGTTTCCAAAGACTACAATAAAATTACAAAATGATAAAAAGCATTCCCATTTAGTCTTCTATGTACTCGAATGGCTCTGGAGGCTCGGGTTCCTTAGCTTCATCGTTTTTGGGTCCATAAGCAGCTACAGGTTCAACTAGCTCCTGTTCAGCAGATTTGCCTGTGTGTTGCAATACAATAATACCACCTATGGTAACATCCTTCAGCGGTATGAAAGCCTGTGCTTCAGCCACGCTAATGACCTTGAGTTGTTGACGGACAACACGAGCGGGATTTTGCAAGATCTCAAAATTCGGTTCAGGTTCTTTCTTGTCCTTCTTTTCCTTTTCTTTCTCTTTCTCTTTTTCCTTGTCCTTTTCTTTTTCATCTTTCTTCTTTTCGCCGGCTTCCTTATCTTTCTCCTTCTCTTTATCATCGTCTTTTTTCTTTTCTTTCTCCTCTTTCTTTTTCTTATCTTCTTTTTTCTCTACTTTCTCGTCTACATCCATTTTTTTATCGTCTTTCTTTGAGTCTTTGCTGTCCTCATCTACATCCATCTTGTTATCTTCTTCCTTCTTATCAGCGATTTCGCGTCTCTTTTGGCGTGCAGCTATTGAGAGAACAGCGGTGGCCACTTTCTCACGCTCCTCTGATTTCTTTTCTTCCAACGGTGCTGGATAAGCATAGAGAGATGGTTT